TAAACATGGAAGAAGAAACTATAAAGTTAATAGGAGAAGCCAGGTGTAGTGACGCACACCTGTAATCCTAGCACTCCGGAGGGTGAGGCAGGAGGATCACTGTGAACTTGAGGCCAGCCAGGGCTACATAGTGAGTTCAAGGCCAGCCTGGACTACATACTGAGACCCTGTCTCAAAAAATTTTTAAAAAGCCGGGGATTTAGCTCAGTGGTGCCGCCGCCTGCCTCACAAGCACAAGGTCTTGAGTTCAATCCCCAGTACAAGAAAAAAATTAGATTTCTTAAATATAAATGGACCATACATTTTAATATGCGCTAAAACCGTAAACTTCTTAGATGAAATCATAGGAGTAAATCTTTGTGCCCTTGGTTAAGCAAGGATTTCTTGGTGCAACAAATAAAGTGGAACAAATAAAGGAGATAATTTTTTTTTTTCTGGAACTGGGGATCGAACTCAGGACCTTGCACTTGAGAGGCAGGCAGTGAGTGGCACCACTGAGCTAAATCCCTGGCCCAGGAGATAATATTTTTAAGAATTTTGTACTTCAAAGGACACCATCAAGAAAGTGAAAAGACAACGTGCAGAATGAAAGAAACTACTTGCAACTCATATATATAATAAAGGATATTTATTAAAAATGGATATGAATAGAATTTTATTTAAATAGATATTTAAACAATGAATGTGAATAGAATTATCTCCAAAGAAATAGACAAATGGCTAAGTGCCTGAAAAGATGTTCAACATAATTAGCTACCAGGGAAGTGCAAATCAAAGCAATCAAGTGCCACAACTTCACACCTACTAGTATGGCTATCATCAAATAGCCAAGAACAGGTACTGGTGAGGATGAGGAGAAATGAGAGCCCTCATGTCTGGTTGGCAGGATTGTGACATGGTGCAGCCTCTTTGGAAAACAATCTGGAAGTTCCTCAAAGTTCCACGTGTTCACAACAGGGTGGGGCCTGTAATTTGAAAACCTTGCTGGGGGAGGGGGAGGCAGCTGTCCCTTGGATTCTATTGGCCCGCCAGCTTGGACTCTTCCAGGTACAGTACCTGCATGACTGAAAAACTGAGTGCCACTGTGACTGCCAGAAAACCCAAACCCATTATGACAGTTTGCACTCTGCACAAATCAGCTGCCCTTAGGTATAAAATGTTTTAAACAAATTCATAAATATGATTTTTTCATTTAATGAAATAAAATTGATTATTGCAGTACTTTTTAATTGTTATGAATAGTATTAATTTATATTTATATTTGGGCAGGAATTACTCAAATTCAAGCAACTAACTAGATTTGGTCTGTTTATAGACCTTTAAAAATTTATTAGTATAAAGAACCATAAAAGTGATTAGATCTGCTTGTACCACCAGTGGTGCAAGCCCCCTGATGGGACAGTTATGCATGTCCCACCTGTGGTTCAACACAGAGTTACTACATGACCCAAGAATTCCATTTCGAGGTATATACTCAAGAGAAATAAAACTATAGTATTTTAGTAGAAACTGCTATCTTCCACTAATTTGCCAAAATGACCAACACAAGGAGAAAGAGCAGAGGCACTCAGCATATGTGTTCTGGGCCTTTTAGAAAACCAAGACTTGCTCCTTTGGCCACACACAAGTGTGAAAGGTAATACAGCAGACATCAAGGAAATGGGTGCTGTTCAGAAAGAAAGGCCCCACAAATGTTACCGTGGCAAGCCTGGAAGCGTTTACAAGGTTTCCTGGCACACTGTTGGCATTGTTGCAAAAAACAAGTTGAGGAAAAGATTCTTGCCAAGAGAATTAGTGTACACACTGAGGGTATTAAGATGTAAGAGCCAAGATAGCTTCTTGAGACACGTGAAGAAAAACCATCAGAAACAGAAGGAAGCCAAAGAGAAAGGTGGTGCCAGCCTGCCGCACCCAGAGAAGCACACGCTAAGAACTAGTGGGCAGGATCCTGCCCTGTGAGTACACAGCATAACAGGTGCAAAAACAACACTGAAGAAAGATCCTTGGAGGCCAGGTGTGCTGGTCCCTACCTAATCCCAGCACTCTGGGAAGTAGATGCAGGAGAATCACAAGTTCAAGCCCAACCCAGGCAACATGGAGACTTAGCAAGACCTTATCTCAAAAAAACAATTTTCGGATTGTAAAATAAAATACATGATCATTACTTGTACATGAATGTTCATAGTACCATTATTTATAGTAGTCATAAAGTAGAAGCAATTCAAATGTCTACCAACGAATGAATGTATAAACAGTTGCAATATATCCACATGATGGAATATTACTGAGCAACCTAAAGGAAGAAACTACTGAAACATATTATAAGGTAAATAAACCTCAAAACCATTATGGCTAAGTGACAGAAGCCAGATACAACAGACAATAATAAGTAATTCCATTTATATAAAATCCCTCCAAAATATGTAAATCTATAAAGACAAAAAGTAGAGTAATGCTTACCATGGGCTGTGGAATGGGGATATTGATGGACCTTGAGGGGTGACTGCTAATAGGTAGGAGGTTACTTTTTGGAGCAATAAAAAATTTTTAAATTAGATTATGTAGATGCTTACATAGGTTTGAAAATACTATACTAGAAACCACCAATCTGTATACTTTTAACAGGTGAATTTTTTTTTGTTGAGATTAGGTCTTGCTATGTAGTTCAGGCTGACCTTGAACTCACCATGTAGCCCAGGCTGTCTTTGAACTCATGGCAATCCTCCTACCTCAGTCTCCCAAGTGCTGGGATCAGAGGTGTGTGCCACAGGTGAATCTTTTTTATTTTTATTTTTTGGTACTGGGCATTGAACTCAGGACCTTGTGCTTTCAAGGCAGGCGGCGGAACCACAGGTGAATCTTACGTGTTATATTCGAGAGAAACTGCTGCTGTGGCTGCTAATAATAATAATAATAATAATAATAATAATAATAAATACCATAAATGAAGTTAACTGATGGATGCCAAGACAAGAAGACTTCCAACATCTACATCTGATAAAGAACTACAATTTTAATACACAAACATAAATATACAAAATGCAAGCTACATAAAAAATATCAAAAACCTAAAAGAAGAGCAATTAAGGTGGATAGGCAACTGACAAACAACAAAATGATATGGGGCCGGGGATTTAGCTCAGTGGGTCGGCTGCCTGCCTCACAAGCGGAAGGACTCGAGTTCGATCCCCAGTACCAATAACAAAACAACAACAACAACAAAAACGATATGAAGAGATACTCTACTCAATTAAAACAAACACAAAGAACTGCTTTAACCTACCGGACTGACAAAAAATAATCAATTAGGTAATAGTAAGTACAGGCAGATGTTGGAAAAAGGACTCTTCATGCACTGCTGGTGGGAAGAAACCAATGAAGCCACTCGGTAGCACAAGAGTGGAAATTTTTAGTAAGTCAGCATGCAGATGTCCTACAGCCAGCAATGCCGTATCTATCTACCTCTGTGTATCTCTCCACCCATCCATCTATCCCAGAGAACTCTTGCAACAGCCAGAAATAATGAACTAGATTTACGGATAGTGACATAGATGACTAAAACACATAATGCTAAAGGAAAAAACAACAGTATGATATTTATAGCACAATGGTGTGTGTTTAGGCAAATTCAACAAAAGCAAAACATGACCTATCTTTCAAGGGGCACATATTTCTGAAACAGATATAATGTAAAATTTCTCCCAAACAATAAATATGCACATCTAATGTGACTGCCTAAGGTTAGGGGTGTTGGGAAAAAATGGACGGTAAAAATAAAAAGCGCCCTTAAACAGAGCAAGGATGATATTGTGCTACAAACTGAGGAGCATGACAATTCAATTCTTTGGGCCCAATAGCCTAAGGAGACTAAACAAAATCCCATGCATTACTTCCTAATGAAAAATGTAATAAAAATAAACTATCATATACTTGTGGGTAAAGCAATGGATAACCCAACTATGGAGAAAAGGTGGTGGAGAAGCCCGGCTTGGTCATCGGCTGAGTCACTCGGTCTTCAGGAAGATGGAAGCGAGAGCCTGGGGTAATAAAACGTGGTGGATGCCGTCCAGGACCAACTCCACCCCTCCACCCTCTCATCCACACACAGAAGAGCGCGAAGATGAAGAACCATTTAACCATTGCAACTTAAATTAGAGACAAAAATCTAATTTTTTGGCTCACGAAAACAGGTTTTTAGAGCCAGGGATGTAGCTCAGCGGCACAGCGCCTGCATGGTAAGCGCAAGGACCTGAATTCGATCCCGGTACCAAAAACCCCAAAGAAAACAGGTTTTTACTAAAAGCAATCAATACGCAACACCACCCTGGGACGGGGTAGAGGGGGATCCCGATGTGTTGGTCACCTTTCGTCGAATTCACATGATTTTTTCAAAGATCAAGTTTTACTTCAGTGTTGGGCCTTCGATCAGATCCAGCTGACAAGGCTGGACTCAGTTTTACTAGGACAACAGTGACACGGGGGTTCTGGGCCTTGGCAGACCGAGAGGGACGGGCGTCCCTGAAGTCGTCCCGCCCCCAGCGCTCAGGACGCTCACATCCATTCCCGTCGGGCGCAGGTCTGGCAGGCAGCTTGCGCACACGCCTTCCCCGTGCAGCCTGGCTGGAGCCCGGAGCCCCGGCCCGGCTCCTCCACGCTCTGGGGGGCAGGGACAGGTGGTTTCCGGTCCGAGACGGCGAACTGCCTGGGGGCGGCCGAGTCCGAGGTGGGCTGGGGGACGCGAAGCGGCCCGGGCCAAGCGCTCCGCTCCGCATTTTGGACGCATCCTCTCACTCCGATTTGAAAAGCGTCCAAACCTGGGCAGGTCGGCGTCCGACAACGGGAACGTGTGCCGGGGCCTGCCCGGCTCCGGTCCCGCCCGCCCCAGGCTGCTCGGGCCTCGCGCTCCCCATCGGTCTCCCGGGCCCCGGCGCCCTGCGCCGAGCCCGCCCGCTCCGCAAGGAGGAGCCCGCGAGGCGCCGCAGGGCAGGGGCTGCGCTTACCTCGCCGCGCGCCGGGCCCGGCCCGGTCTCCTCGGCCGCCGCCGCCGCCGCCGCCGCCGCCGCCCTCTGCGCCCCTCGCCCGCCGGGAACGGCAGCTGCGCCTGAGCTGGCCCCGCTGCGCTGTTTCCCTCAACGACATCGGCGGGAAAGCGAAAGCGAAAACCCCGGGGGGGCGGGCGCCGGGCCTGCAGCCAGCGGGGGCGGGGCGGCGGCCTCGGCCCGGGATGGCGGCGGCCGGGGTCTTGCGACCCGACCACAGGCGCGGGCCCTCGGTCCCGGCCCGCAAAGAAGCCTGGAGTCCGTGACGGGGTGGAAGGGCCTTCGTGTGGCGAGGCAAGCGGAGCAGAGCCCACGCCTGGGACCCCGCGTCCGAGGGGCGCCCCAGGAACCAGGGGTTCGAGATTCCAGGGCTCGAGCCCCGCCCTGTCTCGTACTGACTGATTTGGGACAGAATATTTAACTAGTTAGTCTTAGTGTCTTCCCTTGTAGGATGTGGAAAATAATCATACCAACCTCCGAGTTTTAGGAGGGTGATGAAACAGTATGAGGAAGAAAGTGCATGGCACAGTATTTCCTGTCAGCCTGTGGTGGGTTCTTTGAGGGCAGCAGCCCGCGGCGGTGTCTGGAGGCTTGAGGATGGGCATACTCCACTGGTCCGGGAGCAGGACCGTCTCCATGGTAACTGGATGGTTTTCAAAGTTTGGACTCTGTTATCTTGACTTGGAAGACTGAGGAGGCGCTACAGTCTTTGTGAAAGGTGCCTCAAACTTAGCCTGATGATTAACGCTCGTAATTAGGCCATTGGATCAGGGTACTGTCACCAAGTTGGATGGAATCCCCTGCGTCTCTCAGCACACCCCTTGAGACCTGAAAATATTTCTCCAAGCATTTCTACTCACTTGATTTTGGAAAACGTTGACAAGACTCTCTACTCCACATGTAGTTGTGACAGAGCAAATATAACAGGTTTTTTTTTCGTCACAGAACAAAGATGAGGCAGTTTGAAAACTGGAGCAGAAAAACAAACTGATTAATCTGCCTAAATCAATCTGATTAATCTGCCTAAATTCACTTTAGTTTGCATTTGTAATTTGTAATTTGACCTGCCTGATTGAGGGCTTGGTATGACTGAGGTGGGGCTTTCAGTTTCCCTCAGGAGCTTGTTGAGTAATGGGCAGGACAAATGATGATCTTGGAAAAACAGCAGCCCATGCTTCCTTCTTCATAATATGATGCCTTTGTTCTGCATTATTAAAGAAAAGGGGGCGGGGTGCAAAGGCATGTTTTGGAGCAAAACTCTTCCTCATTGTAGGCCAGTCCTTGACTCCAAGGGCATAAAGTGGAGCTAAGTCTGCTTCCGTATAAAAAGTATGTCTAGAAAATGAAGACCAGGAAAAGACAAAGAGTACATGAAGGTATAGCCAAATTCTGGTTTCCTCCTACACATCTTAAAAGTGTAAACAGTGCCAAGAGAAGGCTGGCCTAGAATCTTTAATCTTCGTGATTTCCCACACTCCAGATTTGTTCTTGTCCTTGTGGGACCAAAAATTTTGTCTGATTTTCAGTATTCTAGGGTTGATTAGCACTGTTGTATAAAATCAGAATTTTACATTTGGTGTGCAAAGTTAAGTAAAAGTGAAAAAAATGAAATAACCCTTTTAGATATGTCACTCAACAAATGTTCTACGGCAACCACAGAATGCAATCACCTTTGTAGTGCTGGGATCCACTAAGCAAAAATAGAAGAAACAGACTTCAGCGAGGAAATCAGACGACCAAGTAATTAGTCAAATATGGAATACCATCCTAATACTACTAAGTGCATGTGATGCTAGAAGAGGGAATAACATAGAATTGGAGAACCTGGGAAGATAACTGAGTTTTGGAGGGCTTGCCTTCTGTACATGTTAGATGAGTCAGGTGGGCCAGGAACCTCCATGTCTACTTTCTCACTGTTAAGACCTACTTGTGCTTTGGTACCAAGCTATCAACCACGTGCTCCCTGTGAGCTAGGTTCTGGTTTTTCTTTTTTGGTTTTTTTTTTGGTGTCAGGGGTCAAACTTGGGAGCTTGTGCTTGTGAGGCAGGTGTCGGAACCACTGAGCTAAATCCCCAGCCCCTGGTTTTTCTTTTTCTTTTTTTTTTTTGTACCAGGGATTGAACTTGGGTCCTTGCTCTTGCACAACAGGCGGCGAAACCACTGAGCTAAATCCCTGGCCTGGTTTTTCTTTTTTAATGGTTGTTCCATGGATGACCCCCAATCATCAGTTTAGAACTCAATTCTAGAACCATTTTCATCCAGAAAATTCAACTTATCAGTAGCAAAAGATATCCTTGCAGAGTCAAAAATTTTATAAAAGGAAAGGGAATGATAATTTATCCTGAACCACCAAAGGTAAATAATTTTGTGTGTGGGGGTTCCTGTATTTTGGGGAAACAGACATCTTTTATGTGTTCCTTCAGGACAAGTCTTATCTATGTGGCAGCACAGATGAAGTTACCGCCATTTCGTAGTGAAAAGAAGCTAGCCCTCCAAGAGCACCCTTGCTGAGTTAGCTTCTAAGAAGGTGCCCTTGGAGAGCTGGGTGGTGTAGGATGGCTGTCCTTGAGGTTCATTCACCAGTAGCCTGTCGGAGCTAATTACTTGTGCAGGGCAGAGCCCTTCAAATCACCATCCATTCTTCCTGTGAAGCCCCCATTGAAGACAAACCATGACTACTCCGTGAATATTTGAACAAGCTCTCTAGGAGATCAAGCATGGCGTTTTCTTCACTGACTGCACACCTCAGGCAGCCCATACCCAGCTCAAGGTGCAGGGTGGAGGCTAGGGGTAGGTGAGTTTGTGTGCTTTGTTATCAGGCTTCTTCAGGAAGCACAGGTACCATTAGTCTGCATAGACTGAAAATACAAAGATGTGGGCTTCATGAAGGATGTTTTTTCTGAGTGCTGTCTCATTAAGGATGAATGATTAAAGTATCTGTTAAGTTAAAAAAATACTACCAAATGTAATGGATGTGTCTACTTAAAAGTACCCTTGAGGCAGAAGGTCTGTCTTTACTCCCAAAGGTGGTTACAATTTCCTCATGGACCCAGACAGAATATGATAAAGACTAATTACTAGTAGAGTCAATGATTATATTAGGGAGGTCAGGAGGGGGAAGAATAGCAATGCTATTATTGTCAACAGAAATTTAGCAATGCCAAGCATTTTATGAGCATGATCTAATTTAATCTTTGTAGAAACTCAATGAGATAGGTTATTTTACAGATAAGGAAACTGAGTTTCAGAAGAACTGCTCAAAATTAAAGGGCCAATAAATGAAGAAGTCTACTTTTGGGCTACACAATCAATCTGTCTGCTCCAGGTCTGGACCACTTAACCAGTAAGTACCTCCAAGGAAGAAGATGTCCTTATCAACCTTGAACATGGGTAGAACTGGAGTAATCAGAGATGAAAGCAGTTAACATAGGAGTGGCAGCAAAAGTGTTGGAGAAATAGAAAACTGGAAATGTGTCATATCAGGAGTTGAAATGCATTAAAAATATTTGAAGGAGGGTTACAGGCATTTTATAAATATTAAAAACTACACCAAAGAAAATAATTCTTCCTTGTTCTTAGAATTAATCACTGTACATATCTTGCATAATTATCTTGTTTTTAATTAAAAAAATTTTTTTGGAGACACAGTCTCACTATGTAGTTCAGGCTGGCCTTGAACTTGCTATTTAGCCCAGGCTGGGCTCAAATTCACAGTGATCTTCTTGCCTCAGCCTCCTAAATTCTGGGATTACAGGCGTGTGCCACCATACCCAGCCTAGTTTTTTATTTTTATAATTAAAAAAAAAATGTTGATGTTGAGCCCAGGGCATGCTAAGCATGTACTCTACCACTGAGCTATATCCCTAGCTACTCAGTTTTATTTTAAAATAAAAAATCACTTCACAACTTATACATGCTTATTAAAGGGATAAAAACACTACAGAAAGTATAACAATGATTAAGAGTTCCTCAAATCTTACTATTCAAAAATTACTATTTTGACATTAGGAAAATAGTATTAGATACATTTTCTTTTTATTTATTCAGAGAGGATGGATAGATGAAAAATGCTATCTCAATATAGTTTTTATTTGCATTTCTTTTATTAGGAATAAGGTACATAATCTCATATGTTTAAAACCTATCTGTATTTCAATTTCTGTAGACAGTTTATACCTGTGTATTTTTGGTTGAGGTTTGTTGAAATGGAGTTGTTGATTTTTTCTCTTATTTGTATGAGTTACCTTTATACTAGGTAATTTTCTTCTTTGTTTTGTAAGTTTCAAATATATTCATTCATTAATTGGCTGCATTTTATGGATACTTTACAAAAGGATTCATAAACCTAATGTTTAAATTATTGCTTTTAGCTGGGGATTTAGCTCAGTGGTTCCGGCGCCTGCCTCGCAAGCGCAAGGTACCAAAAAACCCCCCCAAAACAAAAAATTATTGCTTTTATACTTATAAAATTCATTTTAAAAATTGTTGTGGTAAAATATATATAACATTTACCACTTTAACTGTTTTTTGGTTGCACAATTCAGTGGTCTTATATGCATTAACATTTGATGCACAGCTATTATTGCTAACCATCTACAGAACATTTTTCATCATACCAAACTGAACCTCTGTACCCACTAAACAATAACTCATTACCTCCTTCCCCTATCCCCAACCCCCCTTTTTTTTGGTACCGGGGATCGAACTCAGGACCTCGTGCTTGGCAGGCAGGTGCTGTGCTGCTGAGCTAAATCCCTCACCCCCCCACATCCCCCTTTTAACCACTATTCTGCTTTCTGTTTCCATGAACTTGACTAATCCAGGTGGCCTATTGAAGTGGATCAATATTTGTTTTGGGACAGAATCTCACTATGTAGTTCAGGCTGGTCATTTTTTTTTTTTTTGGTACCAGGGATCGAACTCAGGTCCTTATGCTTGTGCAGCACGCGCTGAAACCACTGAGCTAAATCCCCGGCCCAAGCTGGTCTTGAAATCATCATATAGCCTAGCCTGGCCTCAAACTCAGTTTCTGCCTCCTGAATGGTAGGATTACAGGTGTGTACCACCATGCCTGGCTAATATTTGTTCTTTTCTGTCTGG